GTGAAAAGAACGAAAATAACATTAATATAATTTTGCGAAACAATTTAAAAGTATTTTGTTTTTAGTAGTCAAAATTTTACACTACAGCTGTTATGTAATAATCTCTAGAACTACGACATGTAACCTGATGCCTGGAGAGCCAGTTTTATAGAACTCTAAGGTTTAATTCATACCGGAACCAATACAGTAGGGAAACTTGACCGGCCGCTTCACGAGCGGTGCAAAATTGACCGGCTCTGCGTAAACGACACTGCAGTGTGGTTTGCGGTGTGAGGTGTATTTGTGTGATACTGTGTTGCTAAAAAATGTGCATGTTTTATTCAGTTTGTGTTTAGCTGAAAATGAGATTTATTGCTGATTTCATGCAACAGAAAAAAATTCGTTCATCCAACAACAATAGAAGCGCATGGAATCATTGTCAATTTTGCATTACTTCATTATAAACAGTACGGCTAACAGATGCTCTCATAAAACGAACGAGTTCATGTTTTATTGCTGGAATATGCGGGACATAGACACATCATTCAGCACAAACGAACAGCAAAATAAAAACGAAATGCACAAGTACAAGTTAAGTGATAGAAAAATTAAGTAGCTGTTTACCACCATTTATCAGTAATTGAGGGCGGGTCTTTCATGATGCAAGGCAAGGTAGTGATGATGCAATTACATCTCAGTTCTGTTCGACGGTAGCAGTTCATTATTTTCGATCCTTACTGTGCTATAGGGATTATACAAAACGACAGAACAGGATGAAGCAGATGGTTATTGTTGGACAGAACTCTGGCACTCAAGCGAAATAAAGTTCTTCGACAAGAACTCCAAGTTCGAAAGAGCCACAACGTGTTGTGAAGTTGAGCGCTCGGAGCGGATTACGAATATCGGTTTTGAGAAATCCATGAAACGAAGATACGGAGGAGATATCGGAAAAAAGGAAAAAAGCCAAAATTTGGTGAAAACGTGAACAGTGGCATTCAGAACCCCGCATGTCTCAGACGAATAATATAGTACACGTTCTTCGGCGTTTTATTTGCAATCAGTTTCACATGTTCAGGTCAAGACAGATCTTGAAACAGAACGAACTAAATATATTTCATGCAGTCGATACGTTCAATATTAGAAGAAACGTCTAAAAGGTATAGGACCTGAAGTTTTTTGTTCTTATTTAAATAGCACATTTGATCCTTTTCACGACTGAGCCGTAGTAACATGTCAGATGACGCAAAACGAAGGGATTTTAGTTATAGTCGTTGTGATTGTCGTGCTGTCCGAATATTTTTAAAAAACATGATACAGCGGTGAGCCTTAGATTTCCAGTTTAAAAGAGGAATATGAAAGGAGATATCACACCAGAGTGGTATTTTTGAGAACTACACCTAAGAGATACCACAACTCCTTTTTTGCTGCTAAAGCAGTGGCCATTGGATGTAATAGCGAAATCTGCTGTTAGCACGGGAGGGTCGTCAGATCCACAACATGTTCTCAACTCTAGTTTCTGCACCATGTAGTTCAGAGCCTTAGTCTTGGCGCAGGTCCTTTGGAAGTTATCTTGGAACGAGAGGCTGCGGTCCAAAGGGACTCCTAAGCATTTCGTGTTAGACTTGTTTCTGACTCGTATTTGGGTCATGACACTGCATTAAAACGTATCGTACATAAATGTATTCCACAGAGTAATACATCACCAACCGCGTATTAATACTATTTGCAACCAACTTCATCGGGCCTCCTCAAGATCAAGCAATATGAAATATTTTTTTACCACTTTTACCTTGTAACGATTTTGGCCTCAGCAACAGTATCCTGGCACTTCCTTTCCACAGCGATATTCTGAAATGCAATAATGAAAAATATAGCTGAAGATCGAATAGTAATAATAACGGAATAATTCTTCATGAAAGCCGTGCCTGGTGCCGCAAATGTTATAACATGATTTTTAATTGATTCGTTGCCATTATTTTGAACTTATTGTGCAAATAGTAAGATATCAGAAGCAAGGCTTCTTGATGACGGTGTATCGCTAGAAGACGCATACCGACAGGTATATACATCATTCAGATTGCGTAAAGAAAGGTGTCGTTAATAAACTTCTCCAATAAGGACGAAAAGTATGCATAACAGATGAGGATTTTCACAAAGTACTAAATCACATCAAATCGACGCTGCAAAAAACGACTATCATATAAAGATAATTAACGAATGCTTGGCAAGTTCATCTAGACGAACAACTTCTCCTCTTTCACCTGATAAGAGGACTTACATGACCTTGCCATACGCTCGCTAACTGAGTGAAAAGCTATGTCGTATTGGATCTGCGGCCGGAATCAACTTAGTGCAACTGCACGTAGCGCAGCCAAGTAATCCACCTCCAAACCAAGAAATC